TCCTATGCTCAGATCTTCCAGATTTTATACCGGTAGATAATCAACGACATGATAAACGGTATCTCTGATCACACCTTAATCGCTCTGATAAATCATTATGTTATTTCGTAGGAGTTATCGTTTCCGATGACGGGGATATCGTCACAAGTCTAATATGTATTTGTTAATCCGCTCTTGGACTTGAACATTTGTATTCGCAATGACCTTTCTCAAAATGTAATCGTCTTGTTTTGGTCGGCTATGACTGTAGCCTGTCCATGGCTATTTTGTAGTCACAATGATCTAGCCTGTCAACCTATGGCCTTGGACTCTCAGAAATAAGTTATTAATTTGATACCCTCCCAGGCTACTCGTTTTTCATGATTACAAAGTGGATAAATTCACACTACTTCTTGCATGAAAAATGGATGAATTGACGGGGCAGTGGTTCCAAGCTTTATGCTTGAAAAATATTGTATTCCTGGTTATTGATGTATCAAACAGTCCCCATTTGAAAAGACTAAGAAAGGCTGACATTTTAACGGTAAATAGATTTTCTTTTTTATCCTTTGAACTTGAGCGCATACAGTCTTTTGGCTCACGTGTATTCCTGAAAATGCCTATATTAACTACAAAGATGATCGGATTGATAAAACGTTTCTGCGTTTCTTGCTGCATATACTCCCTAGTTCGAAATCTTGGTCTGACTGTGCAGTCAGCGTGATGGTACGCATAAGCAGCTTGGATGATCCGTGGGTCGGTTCTGCTTGAGCCACAGCTTCTTGCAAAGTTTCACTTCCAGGTACGTTGTTCGACCCTTTACTCCTTGCGCGTTGCACGAGTGATATTTGACACTGTTTTGTTGTAAACAATTCAAGGATGTTCGTCTACTTGTGCCATATTAAACCATATTAAAGCAATGCATAGATATAGCAAACTGAACAAACTTCGTCACCTGTCAGTTGGAGTTTGAGATTGTTTAGTCATGTAGAATATTCTTCATTTCAAACAGTTGTATCCGGGTGTTATATCGGGTGATAAGGCCTTTTCTGCAATAAGCATCAGTAACTTTTATTAGTAATGCATTTACGCTCTTACACAAAATGCAAAATGCAGAGCAACGATACAAATATTGTAATATTCAAAAGAAAATCAATAGAAGAATTCGCCGTCACTTAATCATTATTGTGCCAAAGAGTCATTGACAGGTGTTCATTAATCGTATTTATTAATTAATTTACCTCCAACCTCAAAACAGGTTCATATTTTCTTTCCTCTCTTCTGAACGAGAGAAATGCTTTCCTGGTATATATGATTCTCTTGCTTCCGGTCGACTTCACATATGTTAATCGAATGTGGCATGTGATTTTGTCATGAGACCACATGTTTTGGGTTTATAATGGCCATAGTGTCGTCAGCTTTGCAAAGCTTTTAACATAAGACTGCTGTGCTGCATCGCAGAAGAGAGGAATCATCTCCGGATGCGGGTCTGCTCCATCTTGTTCAGCCACAACATACTGACTTCCTGGTCAGTAGCAAGTAGCCACACGTGATAGCATGTGCTTCACGCATTTTTTTCGCTCATCGCTAAACGTTATTCGATGTTTCTTTAAACGTGAGATTTTCAGTCATCGCGATTGTTTGTTCGAAACCGCTGCTAGGTTCGGTTACTGTGTGTTAGACCAGGCTGCTCCAAAGCTCAAGGAACGAGTCTGTCTGTGGCCAAGTACAGCTGAGACTCGTTTAAGTAGCAGAAGTGGAAGTCGAAGTGCTGATCGAGGACGACCACGATGAAAACGCCGACGGTTTTTTTCGCTCCTCGAGCCATGCCGTTTGTCACTCATCCCGCGGTTGGGGCGCACAGCAGTCATCAGGAGCAGGAGTAGGAGCAGGAGTAGGAGCAGGCGAAGCGTACGAAGAACTGAAGCGTCGCCGGACCGACTCGGTCGGTCATCGCAAAGAGCCGCAAGCCTCACGCAGTCCTCGCATAAGCCAGTATCCTCAGAAGAATACGAGCGTCAGTTGACGGCAATGGCCGGCAATAACGGATAACGGCACGGCGTTGCGAAAAAATTGGCCGGGTAAAAAATGCACTGGCCTTATCACCAGCACAAACTAAAAACTCAGTCGTGAAACATGACGGTAAAAGTTGTGATAAATCAACGCAAAACGCCAAGAACGATCGTCGACCAAGACTACGTGTGCCGTAACATCATCCGACGCCGTGCGAGGTCAGCATCGCCGAACCTCCTCCTCCTTCAGACCTAACCTCGTCACTTTTATTTCATCGCGAGGTAAACGTTTCGCGTGCGTACGTGCGTTAGGGCGCTTGATTTTTCAAGCTACAGTCACCGGTCGAGTTCGACATGAGTGACGCGATGCCCTGAATTTAGGCCAGCCGAATGTCGACGTCCAGAAACAACTTCTGAAGTTTGGCTCGACAGCGTGATTCTTCTAGTACGAACATCGAAACACTTCTACCCACTTCATAAGTATTAATAAAGTAGTGGGAAATATCGACAAATATCATTATTAATTC